GTGTGTGTGTGTGTGTGTGTGTGTGTGTGTGTGTGTGTGTGTGTGTGTGTGTGTCGAGGGTCAGCCAAACACACACACCCTGCATTGTAAGTTGTTTTCTTAACACCGGGGTGGACTCTGCATTATCTTTAGGCCCGTGATTACACGGCGACCCTAAAGGCCAGCGATCTGACCTGGGAGCATGATCCCAAAGAGGAGAGGAGGTGGGGAGGAGGAGGAGTTACGGGGGGGGGGGTTTAGACAACGAGGAAGCCAAGCAGATGCCAGTGCAATTAAAGCGACCGGGGAATGTGACGAATGCGGTCAATCTGTCAAACCACCCCTGAGGTCACAATATTACCTCCAAGATATACTGTGGTGCCTGCGGGGCCTTAACAAAGATAAGATGGTGAGAGAAGCTGGGTGAAGGGGTTGGAGGGGATAGAGAGGTGGAGGAGGGAGGGGGGGGAGTTTCTGCCACTGCTTGCTGTCCTTTTTCCCACCCCCAATACCATCACAACCAGCATATCGCATTTTATCTCCCTCCTGCATACTCTAACACTCCCCATAATTGTCCTTTTCCCCTTCCATTTTCCTTTCAACTCCTCCTCTACTTCTCCATCTCCTCCTTCTGTCACTACTCTCCTCTTTATCCCTCCTCCCCCACCTCGAGTCTCCCTCCTCGGTTTCCCAACACATACCTTCTCCTTTCTCCCTCAACCCCCAGTGGAGGAGCTATAATAACACAAGTGAAAACATCCTTCTCATTATGTCTCACAGGAGCCGTCTGGTGTTCTTCTAAAGGAGACTGCGAAGGTTGCTAAATAAGGTTTGTCTGAGGACACGTTGAAGGCTGAACGTGAAAACGAAAACCTCTCTGGGGGGAAAGGAGAAGATTGAAGTCCTAATCCAGAGAATCATAGAGTCAACATCAGCTAAGATTACCAATTTGGCAAGAAAACCCATGTTGATATACATTAATGTTACTCTGCCTTAGTCCACTCACCTAGGGTTCCGCAGGGTTTGTTCTTGTACGTGCAGATGTCATACCTAAAGGCGGGTGAAAAAAAGAAAAAGAACACAAACGATTCAATTAACTCTATACTTTTTTCAATACAGTATTTTCTTCCACTGGCTCTTTGCCATCCCATTCTTTCAATGTATAATCACAGTCTGACGAGATATAATCTCAACCTTTAGCATAAAAATAGCATATAATGAAGTTGTGACAGGTTCAGTTGTAGAAAACACCTGGTTCACTGCTCCATCTATAGCATTTAGCCTTCAGGGAAATGTCACTTAGCTAACACACAGTGCTCAGACGTGAATGAGAACAAAGTGAAAGGCTTTACTCATGCTGTGTCCCCACTGTTAACCCCTGTAACTCACATACAGGTAATCCAATAGAGGCCAGAACACTCTGAGCCACATCATACATTTCAAATGAAATATCCAATCATTCCTAAAGCTTTTAATCTATTAAAACCAAGGGCACAGAAAATGTAATTTCATTCTCCTTCCCCTCACTCCCCGTAAACTCCTTTTTCTCTCCCCCTTCTCCCCATCTCTCTCTCTTCCCCCCTCCCCAGTGGAGCAGCTCCAAACCAAAGAAGTACAATCGTGACCTGGTTTAGGACATCTATTTGTTTTGATTTATTTCCCTAATTTCCCTCTGTGTTTTGTTTTGAAAGCGACAGGCCACATTCCAAACAAGGCAGCCTCAAAATGCTGTCTGACGCAGAAACTGACAAAAGCAACATTGCTACGAAGGTCACTTTAAAAACGGTGAAATATCTCAATGAAAGGGGTTTTGTGTGTCCTGCTGGTGAACCTCTGCAGAAGAGCTACATTGATCAGAGATCACGAGGAGGTAGTAGTAGTGGAATTTTCTGACACATAGCTGCAGGGACAATGTTTGCTTCCTGTGAGCCTGGTTATAACAACAGACAATGAAAGTCTAAATCCCTATCATAATAATATTATCCCATTATCCGACCAATACTTCAAAAACAAAAATATATTGAGTTTACAATGACATAAAACAGAAGCCTTACAAAAGAGAAGCTTGAGCAGGTGGAATATTTACTTTAAAAATATCAACAAATAGGCTAATCATAATAATCCAAAAGTATAAATTAAATAAACGTTGTGAGCACTGCAAGCATCTACCATCTTAAAAATAATACTGGACCATTTTTAGGTGCATTCCACCTTTGTACGGAATGTGGGACTGCTCCTCCAGACATGGTGGTTAATGAGGGCTTTCTGGTGTCTACCATCAGCTATTTATAATATTTATAATCTCCAATGTTAGCATCTCTGAGCTCAGCTGTTGCCTCCTCCCCACAGCTTTTTATTTCATTATCTCTATCCTTATTTTGTTCTCTTTTACCAGTATTTCATCATACAGAAATAACCCTGCAATGCACGTATGAAGCTTATATGAAGCTATATTAGCTTAAGCAATATTAGCTTACAAACTGACAACATGCCACCTATATAGAATAAGCTAAACTAAATGTCCCCCCTTATTTTAAGCTGCTGTTTTGAGGTTTTATATATTCAAACACATACGTAGTCTACTATGCGTTCACTAAAACATAATAAATTATAACATAAACCGAGTCTTGGTAATATAGTTTTAGTAGTTGCGATGCTAGCAACTAAATGCTAATGTAAGCATGCTAATTATACAGCATTTTAGCTAACACTTGTTAATTAGCGCTAAACACAGAGTATGGCTGAGACTAAATATAGTCGTGTCTCTCCTTCATTGGTTTTCCAGCAGTAGCAGGGGGGCTGTTTGAGGCAAACCAACTCTGATAAAATGTTACCTTTTCAGCACCAAACGACAGAAAATGTTATCCACAGTGCAACACTTAGTAAGCTTGTTGTTTGAGACCAAAACAGAGATCAAATAAAAGTATTATTGAATTTACATTTTTCAGGTTTCCAGAAACATACCTCTTCTGTGATGATAATGTTGCCTTCTAGATATTAAAGTAGTAATTTACTAGCTTGTAATGTGGGTATACAAACTTTAAAGGGCTTGTTTCGTAATTTGTTCTGCTATCACATGCCCAAAATTGCATCATGCAACTTAAACTACTAACTTGCAGAATATGTGATTGATATGTCTAATTCTGCAGGTCTATACTGCTGCTGGTTTTCTTTATTTCATCATGGGTGGCGCAGTTTTGGGATGTTTATTATGTAGTTCAACCTTGTTAAACATAAATGGATAAGTTTGTAGGTTTATGAGTTACAGACCGGTTTAATGAGATGTTTGGTATCTTGAAAGAGTGATACACATGTATCACCTCTCAAAGAGATAAACATCGTGAATCTACTACACAGCCTTTGGTGTAAGTGCTAAGTGAAGCTAAAAAACACCAATAAAAATGGAGCAAAAGGAGCTGGAGAACCTCAACTGACAGACAAACAAGCAAAAGCACACTAATGATAGAACGGCTGTTTTGTACAAAGCCAAGAGAGTCAATAACCTTGGCGTAAGCCCATGTCAATCACAAAATGCCCTCTTTAGACAAACCTGTGTATGTGGGGGGTAGATATATATATATATATTTGAGTTGCTAGGTAATGTGGCCAAACAGTTCAAGCCTATTCCAGGTAATGACAGAGTTTTGCTGTTTTATGGCAACACCCACAACGTAAATTGCAGTATGACAGGTACAGTTATTCTGTAAAAGCTCATAGTTTTCAGGACTTTATTCCAGTAAGCTTTAACACTTACAGGTAACATTTTTGCACAAGAACTGGACATTGGGAGGGTTTAGTACTGAAACTGCTGGGCACCTCTCTTATTAAACACAAACACATAATCTGGCTGGTGACTCCACAACTTTAAAAGCACAGAAAGTAACCTGCAACCTATTTGCTCAAATGAGGAACTAAGTGCTACTTACTCTGAAAGTAACAACTCTTTAAAGTACACAAATCCGTGCTGGATCATTATACTGGCGTGAGAGCTTAATTTTAGTCCGAGATGTGAGCCTACACTTACCGAGTGATTAGGACGGCGTTGTCATGGTGGGCCATCCCGTTTTCAGGAATGCTGTTGCCGTCGCTGTGATGGGACAGGATGGACTTTTGCCACTTACAGAAACTGTCCAGAGACTTGTCAGCATGGTGGTTAATCTCCAGGTTAGGCTGCAAAAGAAAACACAACACACATGCAGTACATTGCAACATGATTCTGTAGCACAAAAGAAAAACATACTATAGACCACAATTTGTTTCCGCATTTCATATTTAAGTATCTTATTGTAACGTAAGGTAACGTATTTGTATGTATAGTAACAATTTGTATTGTGTCATATCATTTTGTTGTGTTCTTCATCAAATTGCATTATGTGGTTTTGTATCCTGCCACTTCATGTCATGCCATCTTGGCTTATATAATGCTGTAATGTGTTGCGTCCTGTCTGATCATATTGTGTAGGATAAACACTTTAAAGCAGGAGACACAAAAAGACTATCAAGGGAAGAAGATGTAGAGAAAGTTGTGGTAATGTAATGGGTCAACTGTAGTAAACTGCTGCTTTGCCAGCTGTGCTAATTTTAGCTGATTGATTACAAAACAAGACTGAAATACTCAATTTCACCTTAAAGTCATTGTTTTGCAATTGGGTTTTTTATATAAAGTAGAATATCCTTCTAATGGGCAAAACGTGCAGCTCCACTTTACATTAAAACTTGTTTTTTGGGACATGATGCTACGTACAGAGCCGCTATGACCCCATTGGAAAAAAAACAGATGCCAGGAAGGCACTCCCATCACATATGCGAGCACATGTACATTGCATGTAAGAATCCTAAATCGAGACTCCCTGAGGGAATATGTCTGAGCACATCTTTCATCTGAAGTGGTGGCCATATGGTGAATAGTCTCCCCTTCAAACACATAAAATACTGCAGCTCACTCACGCTAAGCATATCAGTTGTACACTCACTACAGGTGAAGGTACAGAGGATATCAAAAGAAGCCTCACGGTAATGTTAACCGCGACAATACTGCATGGATGATTCAAGGTAAATGGAATTAATGAGAAAAACAGTAAAGGCATGAGACAGGCTTTGAGTTTTTTCTTACCTGATCTTCAGTCAGAACAATCAAGCGGGTCACAATAATGTTCACAACATTTCCTAGACTGGCATCACGGTAAAGTTTGGCAACCTGACCTCCAGAAAAGAAGAAAAGACACAAAGTCAGACAATTGTGTCCATATGACACAACATCTAACTTTATCAACCACCAGGCACCGTATCACATTACTATAGACATCTAGAGTGGTGGAGGAAGTATTCAGATCCTTTTCTTCAGTAAAAGTTTGAAAAGTATAAAAATACTCAACTACAGGTAAAGGCCCCTAACTCAAAACCTTTCATAGGAAAAATGATGTTACAGAAAAATGTACTTACACTATCAAAAGTAAAAGTTCTTATTGTGCAGTAAAATGTTTTCTGCCAGTGTTTTATTATATATGATGTGTTTGGATAGATATTAATTCTGCAATATGTGTTATTATGTGTTGTTGTATGTTTTTGTTGCATTGTACAGGCTGTCCGATTTTAACTCCTAAGAAAGGAAGAATATAAAGAAATGTAATCTGAAAAGCAACTAAAGCTGTCAGATAAAAGTGGAGGGATTAGTCAGCTCAATGTTGTTCTTAAGTAAAGTCCATATCCAGTTTCACTCAACATTCCTCTATACTGGTAACAATGGAGGAAATGTTTGATCAAAAACAAAATGACCAAAAAGTAGGATCAAACTTACAATATTCATTACGGACAAGATGTAGTGCTCAATGTCTTTGCGTCCGTGGTAACCGACCATCATTTTATCGGCAACCACAAGCGTCTCCACGAAGCGCTCTGAGCTGACGGAGCGCCTCTGTCGGTGGCTGCTGTTCGACTGCTCGCTGTCGTTTTGGGGTGCGGGGGACGAGTGGACAGGGGAGGGTGTGCTGAACTGGCAAGGTGCACTGCTTTTACTGAGGTCTGGGGATAACATGTCGACAAAGACAGGTTTTAGTGCATTATGAACATCAAAAAGTTATAATGCATTATCTGAGCGAGAGCTGTTTTGTGTATGCTGGATGCACATAGGGAATCTACCCCTTTGAACCTAGCAGCTAAAGCCTTTGCTTTATGACCCAGATGCTCTGGGAAAAAGCTATAAGATAGTACATGTTAGGGCATGCTGGCTTCCTGTCGATGACAGCCTTTGCTGTTTCTTATAAGACCGTGGCCCAGATACCTATATCCACCTGGTTCTTCTTCCAATTCATCATATCTCAGCAGATACAGAATTTTCTGGAGTTGTTTGAATCTGAACATGATTATTGGTTCTTTAAATAGGATTTTTGCTTCTATAAAAGTCAGGGCCAAGGACTCTTTAAATTAAGCACTGAAGGGTCTTTTTATGAATACTGGAATGAGGCTTTCACCTACAGGTTGAAAGGTTTCCAGGCCAGGAGCAACTTTAGCACACAAGAGGCCTGGTCATGTCTACCAGAACCTGGGCCTAGCACCAAACCAGCACTTCCTCTAACCTGCTATGTATAGTTATTCCTTTACGTCAGTTCCACCCACACACAGCCCAAACCCAGATGGAGGTTCACCAACCTGAAATGCCACAGCTGAAATCCTGGCTATGCTCTTGTGGTGAGGGAATGGCAGACATTTTATAAATAACATGTTGCTGTGCTTCTTCCAGGTTCCTTTCACCGGAGGTGGCGGAGGATATGTTCTTTAATGGCTCTATCAAATACTGTTCCTCCTCTGTTGTTATAACACCATGCTTGTTTGGGGGAAAGAACAGTGAAAGAAACAGGTTACAAACACAAGCAAAACACTGTTGAAAGAAAAATGAAGGTAAAATCTATTTACATTTTTTGTATTTTTAGCTTTTTGAATGCTTTCATTCTATTATACATGCACTCCTATTTTAAAACAGGGAAAACAGTTTACACCGTGTTCTCTGACAAAACGCGATGAACATTTTAGAGGCGATACAATTGGAATTGCAAGTCATTAGAAAGGCGCCATTAGATTCAGGTCACCCTTTTTTGAGAAAATCAAAATTGGTGATTTAGAATTTCAGCTTGAGTGAAAACTTCACACTCTTCCAGGTTTTCATCACATTATATACAAAAATTGTCAAATTTGTGTATATAATGTGATTCCATACAATTCCCTTTTTCTCTGAACACATAGTCCACAGATTTGAAATGTATTCTGTGGCTCTAAAGGACAATTTCTTACATTTGAAAACATTTAGGGTGAAATATTGGCATAAATTGAATAAAATAATTGTAAATATGATGTCATTAGTGTATTAAAACCTGAGTAGGAATTTTGTTAACTTAAAGTGAGCCTTTCATATCTACTGTACATAGTCATCTTCCATGAAGTTGCTATTTTGCACCGCCATGTTTCTACAATAGGCCAGAACGGACAAACTGGTTCTGGCTCTAACAAAGGCATTTCATGTTTTTAGGTTGCCTGAAAGTCATAGAACTTCCCCAACTCTCTTTAGAGGAAAGGGTGAGCAGAAAGATATTCATTTGTTAAAAGCTGAAACCTCACTTCTAGGTGCCTCTCATATACACTGGACCTTTAATAGCTTTTGAGTAAATAGCATATTCCCACATGTGTTCTCCTCCTCTTCATGGGGTCACGTTTAAGCACATACAACACATAAGTAACAAGACTGCAGTTACATTTAAGAACCCCTAACGATTAATTACATTAAGACCAACATTGGAAAAAAGGTTTATCACGTCCTTCAAAGTGGGTTTGTAGAAAACACCAACTTGGCTTTGTAAAACTTACAATGAGAGCAATTAACCACACATCACATCAGCACACAGAAACACATTCGATTTAGGGTTTTAACAGTGTGTGATGTCAAGATCTCTAACTATCCAGGCAGCTGATTACATTAGAGTGCAGACACAGTTTTGTCCATTTTTGGTGCCTTTAGAGAAAATACTAATTCAATTTATGATACGCTGTGTAGATCTTGACAACACATTTGGCTAAATGTATTCTAAACATGATTACATTTGCCAAAAAGAAGCCGGGCCAGTTTTTCCTTTATTAGAGTTATTCTGAACCAAGGGGGGATAACAGCTTTTAAAACGCTTCCAATTTCATGATTAGTTAAGAGCAGCTGTCAATCACACAGTGAGGACTAAAAGCTCAGACAGGATAATTATATGTTGTTAGAGCTGCTCAGTTTTCTTGTTGACCAGAGTACATGGAGTCATATCAGGACACATTTTTGAACAGATCGCTAAAAGCGTCAGCCTAAGAAACGTGATCTCCCAACTGCTGGCTTTTAAAATATGAGGATAAAAGGTGGTATTTAAAGAACAAGTACAAAAGAAAAGCCCTGATGCTTATCACTAACAGATCACTAGGACGTTTTCCCTCCATGAGCATCACCTCGCTCCAAGCTGCCTGCAGACTCAGTGTGCCAAGTGGAAGCCAGCCAAGTTTCTGTTAAGCAAACTACAATTGGTCTAATCCTTTGGCACTGCGTCTGAAAGATTGGCTGACATGAGAGCAGCAGAGGCTAGGTATATATTATCTGACATTAGTGACAGGGGTTTGTTTGAGGTGAGTGGTGTGAACTCTGTCACTTGGGATAATAAAATAAAGTTTGTACTCACCAGGCCCTTGCAGTTGCTGAGAGCCACTCTGGTCGTGCTGTGCTGATTTTGCAAGAATCCCACATAGTGACAGTTATCTACCATGTTATGACGCCACTCCATCCCTCCTTTGCCCCAATACTCCACTGTGAAATGTTTTGACACCAGTTGGGGGTTGAGTGTCAGGTTTAAGTGAAAGTGCTTTCCGTAGGCGGACAGTCTGTAGAAGAGCCGGGACTCTGGGGGGTCCGGGTCCAACGCAGGCATCTGTCCCATTATGGGGTCCACCGCCCCCCGTCTCCGTCTCCCCGGCCGGTGGTGCTTCACAGTGTAGCTCAGGAACTCTCCGCCCTCATCCACCCGCACCGGGACAGTCAACTGGTAGTGCTGCAGGTAGGACAGGAACTCCTCTTTTTACAGGAGAGAGAACAGAAAAAGCCATGAGATAATCTGAATCAGGATCGGGTTTATTGCCAGGTACGTTGCTTTGGTGTATGATGGTTCACAGTATGAAAAACACATTGTGTGCATTTGATGTAATGCATAATGTTTGTGGAGTGGGTTAGTGTCAGTGTCAGTATTAATGAGGCCGGTAGAAGAAGAGAAGAATGAACATACAATTGCAGATTTATCACCCTCCTCTCCACCTGTCTACATCATACCTTGAGAGTTGTGTGACAGTCTGTTGATGCTTTGAAATTCAGAAGCAGCCATCACCACCAGGCTCAGTGTCCAAGTCAGCGTCTTCCACAAAATTTCCATAATTCAGGGGAAGATGTGACATGGGGTGGAGGGTAGAGGGTGCTACAAACGAGTTAAAAAGACCTGATGGGTCCGATGCCACACCATAACAAGTCCATGGTTTGTCTCCTTCACTTGAATGTTCTTGTCGTGCTCGCAGGCTCGTCCAGGTCTCAGATTTCTCCTGAAGGCGAGCACTTCCACATCTCTCTGGCATCAAGATTCATGTCAGCAGCTTGTAGAACACACAGTAATCCATCAGACACAGTCACTCTCAGGTGTAACTCCAAACAGGAAGCTCTATATTGGAAACTTGTCTTGACCGATCCATCTGCATTCCTGTGAAGGAAATCAATCAGAGGTTAAAACCCCATTATCTCCTGGAATTATCGATTAATCAGGTTGTTGTTTCTCCTACAGCCTTCATGATGAGTCGATTCATCAATTCATCTCCTGACAGAAAATGAGTCAACAATGTTTCTAATAATTGATTTATCGTTTCAGTGTTTTACAGGGCAAAGCACTTGCTTTCCATTTCCACAAATGTAAAGATATGCTGATTGTTCCTTTTTTAAATTGAACATCCTTAGATTTTGCACTATTTGCCACTCGGGTCAAGCTTTTCACCATAATTTCTATACGTTTTAAAAACCTAATTGATTCATCTGAAGATAAGATGAAATGTTGTACAAATGTTACAAAATGTCAATTCAGATTTGCCAGATCTTCCCAAATCTTTGTCCAAAAATCTGTTACATTTCAAAATATGTTGAATTTAAATTGAGAGCAAGCAGCATTTACATCACATATGAATCTGGAAGAAGCTTTTTTCCCCAAGGATTTTAGTTTGAATATGACTAATTGATTAATGAACTAATAATTGCCTCAAGAAAAATCTTATAATTAAAGTTTATAGTTTATTTAAGTTGGTTTCATGACTCACCAAGACTAACTTGACCATTTGAAGAACACATTGCCATAAACACCACTTATTTCAGCACCATGATCTGTGCCTTTTTCCTGCATATTCGTGTGGATGTATAGGTTAATGACTAATAGCCTTAAAACGAGTACACAGTGAAGTGTTCTAGCCACATTAAAACCGATGCACGCATCTTAAAACATTGTCAACGGTGCCGACTAGTCGACATGACATGATATCATTTGTGCAGATTGTGCTTTTACTCACTGACGTGCTTCACGGCAACATGTGCAAACTAAGACTACTATAAACACACGTCAGCGGGTTCAGGTGAGAGAAGTGACTCCAGACACGGATGACAAGCCTCTGGAGATCCGGGGTTTCGGTTTGGACCTCTCCAGGCTGCAGCTCTCCAGACAGACAGCGCTACTTTCTTGGCCACCCTGACCCAGACAGTTGGCAGCGGGCCCGCATGCATACACCGGGACCTCAAACACAACCCTCCAGAAGCGTCTGCAAATCAAAATAAACCACCTGACATCGCTTTGAAACGTCTTGGTGTTGTTGCAAAAGGCTTCAAAAGCTACTTATTGCAGATGTGGACCTGAAACGCTACAATACTTACATGTAGATCCAGTGCGTAAATGTTTCCTGAAGTGCAAATTGTACACGCAAAAAACTCAGTGAACTCGCAGTGCCAAGTTAAGCAGTGCAGCTGTCTAAATGCTGCTTTGTAAACACAGTCTGCTTCCCTGAGAGGATTTAAATGCTCACACGAATCTGCTCCGACAAAACTAACCGGGCAGTTACTCAACAGACAGGGGAGTGTTAACAAATAGTTACCATGCTCATCTTCATTGTCAGCTCCGGTCCAACTGTGCAGGCAGAGCTCAGGACAAAAGGCTTCTGCAGCTCTGAAGTTCCGCTCACAAACCTCTGTTGATCTCCTCTTTTCATCTCCCTGTGGGCTCTACCATCCTCTAAAACTCTAGTGTGAGTTTCCCCTTCACACCGTATCTCAGGACAGACACTGTCCCCCAAAAAGAGAGCAGTTATATCAAAGTCTTGGATTTCCTCCAGCAGAAGGGTCTATTTGCAGCCTATCGTCTTTATAATCTAGACTTTGTGTACTTGGTGGTGGCTCAGAGTGGCTTAAAAAGTGAGATGAGGTTGCAGAGGGTGTCCTGCCACCTCAGAGACCGCCACAGCACACTGGATTTAAGAAAAGTGCATGCAAACACCAGCAAAAAGTTGCCTTGGAGCTGCTCCTCCTTACTACATTGCAAGAGACCGGCTCCCAGTCCGGACTGCAGCTTCAAATTGGCAGCTTTTTCAGGAGGGGTGACGTCACTGCAGATGTGCCTCTTCCATCAGCTGTGCGCATGTCTATCAGTGCTGCCCTGAAATAACACGAACTCACATAAAACCTCTGCTCTGTGAAGAATATAGACCTAATAAAGAAAGTGGAGGGGTAAAACCTTTTTTTACAGTAGTAAAACTAGAAATACCAAATATATAAGTAATGGCAGTTTATTATAACATTAATATAATGTATTTCAAGTATTACTTTTGCAAAAGTACATAAGCAGCAAAGTTGAAAGTAAAGTTTTGCATTTACTCAATAATGTACTGTTTGTACTGCATTGTAATTCGTTGGCATTTCCATTTTCTGCTACTTTATACATCTAAGTGATGTACATTTTTACATTTTACAACAGTAATTTTCTACTCAAACATTGATGCATAAGTAGGAAAACATTTGTATATCCATACTGTATATATTAAGACTTCAACCAAATGCATTTTTTATTCGAAAAACTATGTACTTTTAGGGTTTTGATTGCAGGACTTTACATAGTATTTTAAAATGTGCATTTTTTTGGAACAACTAAACAATTCTGTCAGTACTAAATAATTATAATATTGTAGGAGAGTTCCTTTTAACCAAATGTTATATTATAATGCATTAGATTTAATATATTTTTATATTTATATTTAAGGTGTGGTTTCTAAAACATTAACCTGAAAAGTAAATATAAATGTAGTGGTGTAAAAAGTAGAATATTCGATTCCGATATGTAGTGGAATACAAGTATACAGTAGAGAGGGAAGTATAAACATGAGTTAATCCATTTACTGCAGGTATAAATCTGTACGGAAGATGGTGATATCATGCAATAGATGATCACCCAGCAACCATTAATATCAACAAGGAACAATGTCAAAAACAGAGGTTACATAATCTGACAATAGTTTGGCAGCAACCTTGAATTTAACTAATGAAAAAGGCTGTCAGGCTAGAAAAATACAATAAGCTTGTGTAATTGTATTAGTTTAACCCGGTATAATCCTGAAATAAATCAAAGACATAAATATTTCCAGGCTCTATAGAACAAATAAGCATTCAGGATTGTCATTTTGATGTCAATTGTAAATCTGCTGAAGGTATATTAAGGGTCTTAAGTGCAGTGCAGGCTAATGGCAGCCCGAGTGTTTTCGTAATCAAGCCCACTTCTATCTTTAGGCTGTAGGAAATTGAAAATAATCCCTGAGTTTAGTTACAGCTGCTCATTATGTAGGAGCCTGTATCATTATAGTCCGGTTGTTATTACCCGCTCTCCTCTGTCAGGGAAGGGGTCTGCTAGTTTGTGGGGGGAGGCGCCACCGTGTGGTATAGCAGGGATTTAAAATGCATAAAGATAGATGAATGTTTTTTTAATTATTGTTTTACAAGAATGACATTCATCAGATTATGTTTAACTTTAAGTCATGTGTGCTGTCGGGAAATGTGATTTGAATGACATCATATCAGTCATACACGCCCAAGATTTATGATTAAATATAATAAAAACTTTATACACCTTAGTTCAGTTGTGAAAGAAGAACTCCTTCACTTAAGTAAAAATAGCAAAACCAACCGATTACTGTTAACGAGACAAAGTTGTCCATTAATAGATTAAGTAATTTCAGCAACCTGAAGTATAATAGTCTAGGTAGCCAAGATATATAAAAATGAATGAATTAAAATTAAATCAAAAGAAAAAGTCTAGAAAACAAGGTTCAAAATGATTTTTAAGGAAATTTCATTCTCGATAGTGTAGAATAATTTCCCAAAAAATAGGGTAAAAAAATTGCCTTATCATAAAAGAAATTAAAATGATTTATTGCTTTGGATTTTCCATTGCTTTCTGACCCTTAGAATTGTATACAGTAGCGAGATTCATAATTTTATGAATCCTTATCGGATGATAAATAAATTATATATAAAGTAGTTATATCAGATCACCTCCAATTTATAGGAATAAAATATGGAGTTTTATTAAAAAACTACTTTTAATTATATTTAAATCATCAAAGTGCCATTTAAGTTAAAATAAGCATTTAAGAAAATATGAATTAAACATGCCGTGTGTGTTTGTTCCCTAAAATAACAGCATGTGTAAAAAGAGAAGGACTTATTATACTCTAACACAGGTTTGCATGTAGGTGTGTTTGAGATGTTTGCCTAACAATAAAGCACTGATAAAGTCTACAGCACATTGGTCACCTGATGTCCTGAGTTATAAAAGCTGCCTCTGCTCACAACCTGTCGTCAAGGAGCCTCTTTTGCCGGATTCACCATCCTCCAACCACCTGGTAAGATTGACCTCCTAACAACTGCTTGATTAGGGGAAAAAAGATAGCTTATAGTTTGATGTTTAAAGGAGGTACAATTTAAAGAAAGTTAAAATAGCAAAATCGCCCGATTACTCTTAACAAACCATTAAAAGCTCAACATTTTTATTAAAATGCACCTGAAGTATAAAACTTCTCTCAGAACTGTTACATGATGTGAATTGTTTTATCTTTAATATTTTGTGTGCATGCTTCTTGGTTAATATTAAGCTCTTATCTTGCTGTAACAAATGCCAATTTTCCCTCTGTGGGACGAATAAAGGTATTCTGATTCTGAAAAGTCTAGGTAGCCATAATATGTATTACATTTATTTTTACTTTAAATCGACAAATTCAATCCTAACACCTGCTTGACTAGGAAAAAAGCTAACTTATGTGGATATTGTTTGATGTTAAACATAGGTTCAATCTCTGCTGGGGAAGAAACAGATGCACACAAGATGTCCTATAACTTCTTAGAGTTATAGGAGTTAAATGATTTTCTTTCAACAGAGACTTTATCCTGATCATGGCTGTGACAAACCAACCAGGCCGATACGCACCTTCTGACTTCCAGACAGGATTGTGTGATTTCTGCGATGACTGTGGAACTTGTGAGCACTTACCCTTCCTATCTGGGAAATGTGACACTCAGTTAAGACTATACATTTGAGTGCAGGATTATATTTGTTCTAGATACATTTCTCCTCCCTCTGCCTCAGGTTGCTATGGTCTGTTCTGCTATATGTGCCTCGGCTGCTCCATCGCCAGTGACATGGACGAGTGCTGCCTGTGTGGTCTGCAAATGAGCATTCGCAGCGTCTACAGGACCAAGTACAACATCAATGTGAGTTTCAGAGGATATAAAGGGATAGCTGACAGTATTACTCCATTTGGACCATTTTGTAAAACAGAAACATTACTATGGAGTGTCACCGAGTATGATAGTTTTACTTTTATTTGTGGTTATACTGTAGCACTTGTACAGGTTTACATACAAAAAAAGTTGAGTTTTTAATACTTTTTAAGGCCTTCTGATTAAAGATGTAACATTTTAAAAGCCGTCCCATGTCAGACACTGGTAGAGAAAGAAAAATAGGACAATGTCCAAATACAGCATAACAAGTAAAAGCAATTGAATACAAATCCTACTTAAGAGTATTGTAAGTATGATGAACTTAAAGTATTAAATACAAGACAAATATTCAGAAGAAATAAGCAATTTGCTGTTTTAGCTGGAGCTAGGTTTACTTTATTTCTAGTTAGCCAATTTACTCGTTTTTCACAACGTACGGTGCGAGCCCCTCAAAGCGTCAATACCTTAAATCGAAGGGTGTGGAGATGATTAATAGGAGAGGGAATAAGGAATAACGAAGCTCGTTTTTGGGCTTTTCACCAATCTCTACCTTTACGTGTTGATTATTTTATGGTTTTGGACCTTGCTATTTCCGTGTAAATAACTCATTTGGTGGAAACACAATAAGGAAACCAACCTTATTTTTTATGACCCACAACTGTTAATCTTTAACTTGACAGTAAAAATGTTTAACTGGAGTGATCTATGACATGACTTCTCCTTTCTTCTTCTTCTTCGTCATATTGAGACTAATTCCTTTGAATAGTTAGTCGCAACGCCAAGAGGAACAGTAGTATAAACGGGGGGGGGGAGAAAAGAGAAGTTGAAAATAAATAATCATTTTGTTCCGTATAGCAGAATTGAGTTTTTAGTCATACAAACGGCTCCATTTATTAGATGAATTTGAATGTGAGCATGTTTGCATGTCGTGGAAGCATTTAGATCAATGCATCATTGTGTACAAGACTGTTTTGTTTGCCTGACCCAGTTTACATTTGACCACACATTATGTTCATACAGTATCATGCTCCTTTAAAGGGGCTCTGACGCCACGATTGAGAACCATCCTGTAAAAACCCATTAAGAAATAGCCAGAAAAATTCTTACATTTTGAAATTGTATGAAGGACATCCTTTAAATCACTCCCATCTTAATTATTTCATACATTACAGCCAACATATTTGCTGCCTTGCACAGACCTTCTCATGCTCACACCGATTTCATTCAAATGTCCATGGTTATGCATCTATGCACACACTTGAAAAAAAAAAAAACTAAGGGATAGAATAGAGCCCATCCATTAAAACAGTAAAATAATCACTCATACTTGTGTTTCCAGGGGTCATTGTGTCAAGACTTCATAGCATACACATTCTGTGGCGTCTGTGCCACGTGCCAACTGAAGAGGGACATTGACCGCAGGAAGGAGCAAGGCATTTTCTAAATTGGTATGCATTACAAAAAAAAACACCCCACTCACTGTGTCATGTTATCTTTACGTTTATGGAACTGTCAAAATTATGAAAAATAACTATCTTCCCTTTGCCTTCTAGAAACCGTCGCCAGGCACGTTGTAAATGTGCTGGTTTTCTTTGCTCATTGCGGAACCTGAAGAGACCGCCCTTCCCTTCTCTGATAAAGAGGTTAATTAGGTTGTATTCAGTGTAATGTGTGTCGGTAACGGTGTAGTACATTTGCTATCCTTCTGAATTTTA